TTATTCGGAAACGAATTCAAAACACTCCCCAAGGTTGTCACCAGCTGGTAGTTCTAACGCAAAAACTCTTGGAATGATTGAATCCATAATCATAGCGAGAATTGGGGTAAAGCTAGATGCTAATAAAAAGAACTCTGTGAATTAAGGAAATTGCCTTTCAAACGATAACTTGGTTTAGCACCCAGCTTTAATTTACAGACTTTGAAAAAAAAAAAGATTAATTGACGGAACAAAGAAATATATTTCCATCATTTCATCCGCTGATTTTATCATGAGGACACAAACTCTTTTGGATTCAAACAGTTGATTTTTACAACAAACATTCTACAATTCAATTTAACTATTTATGAAAGCGAACGTAAATTCGTAGTTATGCTGCTTATGCTGTCTTCTTTTCTACGAATTCAGTTCTGTTGTTCCACTTCACATCCCCTCACGGGCCTGTAAGCAGATGTCTCTCCGGATCTGAACCTCCTTCTGTAACTAGACAAGCAATATAAAGAGTTGTTTTCCCGCTTTTCCTCGAGCACTTTTAAGATTAACGTTTGCTTAAAGAAGGAAATTTCGCGAGCTATAAGGCTGATAATTCCTGTTTGTTCAGTTTGTTATTCTTTGGCTAGTTTTGCATATCACAAGTTGATATCATGTTCTCGTCAACTATCGGGATTTTGTTTAATTTTTGGTGATAAATGATGGTTTTTGTGTGCTGGACACCAATATCTTATCAGAATTTTTTTATTCATGCAAAGGGGAGAATTTTCGACTGGTTGACTAGGCGTGTGACATGAAATTTTGTGATAATTTCGTGCGTGGACCAATGATTTTTTTTGTTCCGTGTGAACAAATTTATAGGATGCAGTTTCTTCTGGGAACATTTTCAGTTGGGTTTTTTTTTTTTTTATCCGGAAACAAATATGGCTACTGCAAGTGAACCCGCGTGAGTTTCATTCACTGAATCATGTAACGAATTCTCGTAAACGCTGATCTTGATTCTCAGATGTTCTTAAGCTTGTAATATACTACGTGAAGTTTAAACTTATCACTTGAAGCTTCTTACCTTCTCACATCCTGAGGGCTCAAATTGTTCGATAGGTTTATCTTGTATATGGAATTTCGCATAAGCA